GAAACACCCTGTATATATATATATATATATATATAATAATACGATTTTTTTCGTTGCTTTGTTCATGGATCGTATTATGCACCGCAAAAATAGAAGACAGACAATCTCTACTAACAACACGTTGTACGCCAGCAGCTGCAACCATATGGCATTCTTTCTGTGATCTTGCTCTAAGAGCTCGTTAATACGATCCTCTCGGATGTTGCCAACACACAGTTAATATTAGTTTCGAGTATGTTTTCTCAATGTATGAGTGACACCGCGGACTTCTACCACCGGTCTCTTCCTCGATAACCACCTGGTTAACATACTGCATACTCAACTTTTGTTATTTCTAAAAGGATGTTGCATCGGCCTGTGCGCTACCGTTTAATTTTAATGGCACCACCCTCTTCGATCTTTTCTTCAAATATGAAACAAATGTTAATTTAAAAATTATTTGTCGTATCAATAAGAGAATTAAATAGCATCAGAAAAAATATATAAGAATGAAATATGGATATAAGAATCATATAGGAAAGTGCATACTCGCCAATAGCAATTTAAAAATATGTCCCTCCTAAAAAAAGAGATATTCAAGAACGAGATTATTTTTCCAAGCAACTATGAACGATAACAATTGGATTGAAATTAACTAATGAACAAACTGTTAATTGAAAACTAATTAACTCTCGCATTCCATTGACCTATTGTACAATAATTATAATTAATAGATACAAAAAAAGATACAAGGAATCCAAAAAATGGCCGAAATTGAATCTACATATTATAAGAGTAAAACAATACTGTGGAATTGGTTATTTAGATGTCGGCTCGGGACCAATTTTTTAGTAGATATATGTACGTGTATAATTGTATACATGTGTCAATCTTTGGATCTGACAAGATATCGATACGTTTCTATCTTACAAATATAATTAAAGAAGCTAATGAAGAATCCGTTAATGAAGAATTTTTCTTTCATAGAACTATCCGCAACAAGAAGACAAAGAAAAACATAGTGATCCATTGGTTCGCAGCCGACGAAAGCGGCGGAGTTTACTGAGCTTTCGAGCCAATGGGAATACGTTGGCTTGCTAAAAATACATTTTGAATCACAGTAGGAGGAGATGAAACGAAACCTCCTTCGCGAAAGGCGAGAAATACTCTTACAAGTACGTATCTCTATCCGAGCAAGACGAGTAACTCAGCTAAGGGAACAATTCAGTCAACGCCGCGTATTTAAAAAGAATCGAACGGATATAATATAAAGCGAACTTGACAAAAATATCGGAAAAGAAAATTTTTAGGCAAGTTTTATCAAACGCAATGGAAGAGAATAGTTCATGAAAAAAGTAACTTTTCGCACATGTCAAAAATATACATGTAATGTGTGCAAATTCTTCCTGTGTTACTTAATTGAGAACCGAAATTACTGGTAATGCGTATAACGAGGAACGAGAACATTTCTGTATAAAATATCTCAAATACGAAAAGAATGTTTTAATCCAATTGTGAGAGAATTTGCGGGACTTGTTGAACGTGTCGATGATCATGTTATGAGATGTATACTGTGGAATTGCAAACACTGTGGAACAAACGTGTTTAATGTCGATCGCATATTAAATAATCTGAAAGTATTAGTTTATCGTACTTGAACAACTTGAGATTTGATTCAAACTAACATATTCCATCTGTTAAATTTAATTCCGTTAATTATACGTGTCATTTTCTCTCTCTCTCTCTCTCTCCTCTCTCCCTCTCTGTTCTCTCCCTTCCTCAAGATAATATTAAAATCAGAATGAAAACTGGCGAAGGCACTTCGACTTCGAGTCGTTTGAGTACAAACACAAACGTGGAGCAACGTTTAAGAAGTCCGAAGTGCGCGAGATGTCGAAATCACGGTGTAATATCCGGCTTGAAAGGTCACAAGAGATCCTGTGCATGGAAAGATTGCCGATGTCCTTGTTGTCTTCTAGTCGTCGAAAGGCAGCGGGTGATGGCAGCGCAAGTCGCTCTACGTAGACAACAACAAGCGCAAGGCGGCAATCTTTTATCTTCAGTAAATAAAATATCAGCGGACACTGTAAGTCCTTATTACACTAAAGCAAAATACAACGAACCTGCCTGTGGTAGAAGAACCAAGAATTTTCAAAGGCATCATTTACATTTCACGCAGACGAGTATCAGCGTGACGCAGGACTTTTATGGATTAAATACCGTACATAGTTTACCTGGCGCATGTGAGTATATCTAAAATCCTGTAAATTCTTTCAAGTTTTACCGCAAAAAGAAATTGTTCGGAAATATGTAAATACATCGTAAATACGTCAATAATGTATGCATTGATTTGACGTTTAATAATATTCCAAACATGCTATTCTATCCTTTGGACATCGTAAACTATTACAACAAAATAAAAATAAACTCTCGAGATTTAACAACAAATTAAAATATCACATTTGACATGTTTTTTTTGTTAGCGAAAGTTTAGGCAGCTAATTATGAAGAGATATATATAATTATTTAGTGCATATTATAAATAATATAAGGGTTTAAAAAATATTTCAATCTATTGGCACTGAATATCTACATATGTCCAATTTTGTTTTACCATTTTCCATCTTTTTTTCCTATCTTTTCAAATGTATTTTTGCAATACAGTGTTTTTGAGAATGCACAAAGTTATGTCAAACGTTTACTTACGAAAGAACTCTTGCACATTTCAGTATCAGCCGATCCTGCACGTTTGCTGAGCAATTTATCTTCTCTGGAGTGCGATCAAAAACAAGAAGCTGAACCCATACTGAAGATAGAGTCTTTCCATTCTGCATACCCGACAATGGTTCCGTGGTTCAATGAGGTAACGCAATCATACATAGCGAATGGAGAGTTGAATAATTTTATTTCTACGAGAGATTTGCGAAGCTGTCCTACTACAACCAATAAACCTTGTTTAGAAAAAAAAGCGCCAATTTCCTTCAGCGTGGAATCTATTATCGGTACGAAATAATATACTATCTGTATTTTAATTGTTTGAGTACCAGCGGGCTATTACCTATTCAGATTCCGATCTGGCAATTTGAGAATTGCCAACGATATTGCAACCGCATTAGCAGTCGTACATGTATGTACTTAATGAACACTCACATCGAACGGTCAATATATATCGCACTTATCTTTCAGCAATAGTTTATTACAGGATGCATTTTTTAATAAGAAACGAAGTGAGATATCTTACCCGAATTCATTAATTGGTACTTGAACGATTAATCCCGCCGCGGTGAACTGAATAATCTTACAAATAGTATATGCACCAATTAGTACGTATAAAAAAAAAAAGAAAAAAACGATATTTTCACAAACATTGTGCAAATTATTTAATAACAGTCATATGTCAATCAACACTTTAATATATCGTATAATAAAGTGTATCTTACTTCCTCGTTGACTATATATACGTGTGTGTGTGTGTGTGTGTGTGTGTGTGTGTGTGTGTGTGTGTGTGTGTGTGTGTGTGTGTGTGTGTGTGT